AAGTCCTAATCCCAGGTACCTGTTAATGTCACCTCATTTGAAGATAAGGTCTTGGCAGAGGTGATCAAGTAAAATGAGGTCATTAGGCTTTAAGCCAACATAACTAGTGTCCTTGTAAGACGGGGGAATTTGGACACAGAGACATGCACAGAGGGGAGATGTGCAAAGAGACATACAGGGAAGGCTGTCTACAAGCCAAGGAGGTTGGCCTGTAACAGATTCTCCCTTGTAGTCTGCAGAAAGGATCACCTTGGTTTTGAACTTCTAGCTCCAGAGCTGGGAGACAATAAACTTCTGTTGTTTAAGCCACCCGGGACTATGACTGCAGCCCCAGCAAACTAATACAAAGGGAATCTGGGTATTGGTCATTTGTATTACATACCTGCACCAACCCTGAGGGTAGTCAGATGTCTGCTTAAGGGCTGTGACTTTCCTATCACAGTCCCAATGGCTCCTAGGGCCTAAGGATTGCTCACACTCAAGACACAACTGGAAAAAGCCAACAGACCATAGGCACACTTCCTGCATAACTAAACATACCCAAAGACAGGCAGTCTTTTCCAGATTTTTCCCTGGCCCCATCTCTGAAAGGAGACTAAACAACTTGACCTGGTTGTCTTGGCTGGCCAGTTTGGTGCTGCCTGTGCTAACTCACGTCATCTGCAGCCTGGTTCCTGCAGACTGAGCAGGAAGAGGCTGAGGTCCCAGCTGGCTGTGGCCACACAGGTCCTGGGCTGCCCACACATGCAGGGCTTGCTGCCAGCCCACAGCTGCGTCCACACCAGGGGTCTGGCCCACTAGGAGGGTCCAGTGCTCTAAAAATGCCAATCCCTGTGCTTATTTTGTGAACTAAATTAAAGTTGAATTAGGAAAAGGGATGTCCAGACATGTCTGCTGAGAAAAGAGGTGAATTCCTTGGAGAGAATGAAACTGTCAAAGAGACGGAATACTGATTATTAAGGATGCACGAGGGAAGATGGGCCTGGCACGAATATCTGCTACTTACTAAAGGCTCCTGTGGGCCAGACCACGTCCCATTGCTTTATTTCTACCACCACAGTCTCATGAAACCCTATAAAATATACATTATCATTTTGCAGAAGTGAAAACTGAGATGCATATGGATTAAACGGTTTGCTTGGGATCATACAGCAGGTGAGTAAGAATAAACCAAAAGTACCTGTTCATTACATTAGGCTACCTTCCTTGGAATAAAATCATCCCTCTATTTCCATTCCCCGAGTCAGTCGGCATGAAGGGAAGCAGGGCTGGAGGAGAAGCTCCCAGGGTCCCCTTTCTCTGTTGCCCCAGGCCCGCCCCCAGCCTTCCCTCAGCCCTGCCCTGTGCCCGGGAGCTTGACTTGTGCATGGCGCCTCAGTGGGCTTGCTGCCGCTGGCTCTCGGTTGAGTTCAGTCAGCAGAAGTCAAGTGCAGGAGACGAGACAAGAGGAGGAAAGTTATGTTGGGTTTATCTCCTTGTCTCTCTCCCAGCTGACTTGCCCCAGGCTGGCTGTGTCCCTCACTCCCAGGCCACAGTTTCTATCCCGTAGCCATCTGTACAGGGCTCTTTCTCTGGGTTCCACTAATGTTACCTGTGTTCCCAATCCCTGAGTACTGAACTATCCTTTGCTTTTCCTTTCAATGTTGGCCACACCTTTGCAAAAATTCCCTTTACCAAATTCTCCTTCGAGTGGTGCAGAGAGCACAGCAAGCTCAAGACAGGGAGGAGGAGAGCTGGCAATGAGGTAGGCCTGGGACCATGTCCTGAGAGAGGGGTAAGGGCAGTAGGGTCTCTGGCAGGTGCTGTGTGAACGGGGTCAGGAGGGTGCCATTTAGAGTTGAATAAGGGTCATGCTGAAGGGCGTTGTGGGTCCCTTTTGGATTACATGGCCAAAGATTTGAAGAAGAACCAATTTACTTGGCTTCTGGACTTGGTAAGTCTGAGAACAGAAATAGAACAACATGTCCCAAGAGCCTGGCAAGGGTAGAAGGAAAAAGAGAAGAGTTCCGAGATGCCCAAGAGCCCCTAGTCTAGCAGGGGAGACATGTGGAAGGAGATGACCACAGCACCAGTACGTCGGGCATCACAGCAGAGCTCTGCCCACTGCCTGGCAGGTGCCCTGGAAGGTGTGTGGCTTCAGGATGTGTGGTGGAAGTCAGGTCCTGGGTGCTTTTTCTCCCATATCTAGGTCTTTCCAGAGTGTCTGGGGAGAGACTCTGGACTCTGCCTTGGTTGTTCCGATCCTGCAGTTCTGGAGTCTGGCCTGAGAGCAGGCATGTGCCTGGAAAGGTTTAATGATGTCCCCAGCTGGCACTGATTGTGAGCTAGATGCTATTTTTGCTAAGCTCTTGCAAACTCCTTAATCCTGCTCTGCCAATCAACTTTCCTCCCATTGAGGCCCCAGAGGAAGAAATAAATATGGGAAAATATCTGTCAAAAATAAAATATAACAAATATAATAATATATTATTAGTTGTGTTTTTGCTTCTAACCCCAAAGCACAGAACTCTTGTAAGCTGGTAAACACCCTCTCCAGCGCTTGTCAGGCCCAGAGAACTTCAGACCAAAGACGGATCTAATGCAAACCCATCAACTACCAGAATTTAGGCAGAGAGAAATGGTTTGGCAGAAGAAAGGGTTTGGGGTTCCAGTGCTTTAGCTCAGAGCTGTCCTGGACCTCAGCGGATGCAGATGTCCTGGCCCATGTCTAGCAGGAGAAAGAGGGAGCACCCGGACAGAGACAGGTGTCGGCTGAGACAGAGGAGCTGACCTGCATCTACTTTCCTCTCTGCCACCAAAAGAGAAAAAGCTAAAAAGAGAATCGCACCAGGTACCCTGTAACTCACAGCAGTTCTGCTCACAGGTCCCAGAGTCTCCATCAACCACTTAGGTATGAGCGTCGACTATAGTCGACAGCCACAGATGAACGCGCACAGCGACTTTAGCTGACAGGCATGATATGACTTTTCTAATTTTTCATTTATCAAAATAAAATTGTGAACATTTAAAAATAATGTAATGAAAACATATATGTACATGTTACCTATTCTGATTTACATTACAAGTAAAGCTGGCTGTAAAGTAAACAAGCTTTCAGTGCTTTAAAGCTTTCCTCATCACACAAGGGCAAAGCGCATTCGTCGTCAATGCACAGCACAGACTGTCGTGCGGACCGTGAGTGCCGGCTGTGGGCAAGGCTTCGCAGCCAGTGAGCGCGCTACCAAAGTGGTTAATGTCCTTCCTTCTTGGTAGGACCCAGGAGACGAGTAAGTGGGAGAGGAGGAGGCTTGAGAACACCCCTGTGAGGGCCTGTGTCCCTGCCTCTCCCTTGTGACCCGGCGCTCCTGCAGGTAACATCTAGACAGGACAAAATGACAAAGACAATGTGATCTGAGGGCACGAGAGACTCCAGAGCGAACACATCAGGCAGGCCTGGAGGGGAGACGACACTCAGAACAAAGGCAGAATGGCCTGGGGCAAGCGTGCAGTTTTACGGGTTTTGTGGCTCAGGGGCAAACTGAAATCTGCACTCACAGGGCAGCTAAGAGTCCACCAGAAATTTCACCATCTTTCTGGTCTGAAAAACTAGAGGACTGTGTTTGGGGCAACCACAGCTACTGCAAAGTGAGGGAGGAACCCAGAAAAGGAGAAACCGGAGACGGAGGGCCCCAGATCTTGTGTATAATCTCTGCCCGGATCTTTGGCCCTGGCCCAGGCACTGCCAGGAGAGGCTCTGGGGAAACTGCATCCAACCAACTGCATTCTTTTCTGGGGTAGAGGAAACACTCTTCTGGTATGACCGAATATATTAATGACATTGTCCAGTCTCCCAAGTGTAACAGTTGCAAGTTCTAAGAAGCAGTCCAAAACCACCGTGCATATGACTAACTAGCAACATCTGACCTTGATCAAGGTCTGGATCTGCTGCTCCATTAGAGATGGAAGGGGCAGCTGTTCTCTAAGTAGGGACCCCTGGGACCCTTACAGGATCCATGAGGTCAAACTACTTAAATGCAAAGATATTATTTGTCTTTTTCTGTCTCATTTTCCCCCAAGTGTACGATGGAGTTTTCCAGAAGCTATATATATAACAAGTGACGTCAAAACAGATTGAATGTAAAAGTAGCTACGAGACTACTTCTATGAATCTAGGTATGGAAGAGGTCTGCACAAATATGAAACAATGCCACTTGTCATACTCACTTTCTTCTAATTTGGAAAATCTAGTTATTTTTCATAAAAATGAGCTTATTATTTTAAATAAACTAACAAAATGTTTTTAAAATATCTTAGTTTTCATGTCTAATGTGGTAAATGTGGATAACGATTACCTACATAAACAAAAACTCTTTGGGATCCAGGTACTGAGGAGGGTAAATGGCTCTGAGACCACGGAGTTGAAGACCCCCGGTGTGAGGGAGGCAGTAATTCCCCAACTCCAGCGTGTGCAGGGCGGTCCCTGGGCAGCCTGCTCAAACAGATGGCCGGCCCCGTCCCCAGAGTCTCTGATTCAGCAGGTCTGTGGTGGGGCCTAAAAATGTTCTTTTCTAGCAAGTTCCCAGGGGATGCTGATCCAGAACGCGCTCAGGTGTAAGCGATGCTGTGTGTGGCTCCGACCCCCTCCCCCGTGCAGGACGAAGGCATTTGGCTCCCAGCTGCCTCCACTGGTGCCTGCTTGGTGGCTCACAGCTGAGTCCGTCCTTAGGCCTTGCCCTGGGCAGAAGGGGGTTCCTTGCCCACCTCCCCCTCAGAGGCAGCCCACACCCAGGGGCCCGGCCGTGTGGGCCTACAAAGGCGCAGCCCCGTTGCCTCCGTGCAGGACCACGCTGCAGAGCCATGCCAGCTTTGGAGCTCCCAGCTGGGGCCCTCTTGGCACCTACATCCCAGTTCAACCTCGTCCTCCGCCGCTCCTGCCGCCTGCACCCCTCGCGAGGGCTCCCGACAGCACTGCCTGATACACACGGACCTCTGCGTCGTCCCCGGGAGCGCAGGGAACCAACCTGTAACACATGGCGAGAGGACACGGCGCTTGGCAGCCCCCGCAGTCCCCAGCCTCTCCGACGGCAGAGCAGCAGTTCCGGCGAGGGCCAGGCTGCTTTGCGTTAGCCTACATGGCAAGTTGGAAGCCCAAGTCTCCCGTGCTCCGGATGTGGATGCTCTCGTGCTCCGGATATGGATGCTCCCGTAGAGCACTTCCGGTTGGCGCACAGCGGCCCGGAGGGACGAACGGGCGGTGGTCTGGGTTAATTGTCCCGACCACGTGTGCTGCCGCCGGCTCGCGCCTGCACACAGGGATCGATTGCCCTGTTGTTAGGAATTTACCAAGCTGAGTGCTAAACACAGCCACGCTAAAAATTAAATTTTACATAAATTTGCAATTAAATAGACCATATAAATATATGAGTAAATACTTAAAAATTTATATAATATCTTAAAAAGTCAATATGTACTCAAAAACTCATCACTTCCTAATTATTTGACTACATGTTACTATTATCCATGTTCTTAAGGTTGTTGACATCTATTATATGAGTATAGTGAAAATGGTATGTAAGGGTGCACCACAAATACAAAAGATTTCAATAGCCTTAATAAAGGTAATAGAAAATGTACTCAAATCATTAGGAAAAAAAAAAAAAAAAGCAAAGTTAGGTGGTCAGGAAATAAAAGAGTTGCTAACCTCTGGGGAAACAGCCTATAAGGGGCTGAGCTGACATCCCAGCTCGGAAGCTGCCTGCTTTTCCTCCTGACCCAGGAGGGCATCAGAGGCTGCTCTATTTCTCTTAGCTCTTTGCTGATAGCAACTCCATGACTTCCCCACAAATGCAGTTGGAATTCTTTCTTATTTTTTCATCTGGTCCTATCTATTCATATCTTCTAATACCAACTCTGTGCTAAGCTTTGGAACACAGTAGTTCAAGTCTAACAGAGACTCTAGACACACACAAAAGTAATGAAATACAGTGACGTGCACATCTAAGTAAAAAGAGGACCTCATAAACGTCTATTGAACAGAACTCCTGGAAGCATCACATGACTGACTGTGTATTAGGGAAATTTTCACGGAAGAAATGACACATAAGCAATGTCTTGCAGCACAGCTGGGATTTTCCAGGTAGGCAAAGGATGCCAATTGGAAAGAACACTTTGTGCAAAGGCACAGAGACAATTCAGGATATAGCCTTTGATGTTTTGGTCATGGGGAAGTGCAGAGCTGCCCACACTCTCCCATGGTCCCTGAAGACCACATGTTGTCCTATCAGCATCAGGTCTGCTGGCATCAGAGAGGGACCAGCTGGCTTCCATTGCAAGCACAGCCCTGACTAAGGCTGTGCTCACAGGCTATTATAATCCCCTGAGCTAATTGGGCACTATTTCTATATTTGTTTGCTCTTGCAGCTTTGTATGATGATTCAGAGTTTTTATGATTAATCTCATATTGGAAGAGCTACCTGTGGAACACTTCTATGAAAATCTTCCAAGGGCAAGACTTATCTCACCACTTGTGATTGTTTAGCCAGACCTGCTGGGTGGAAGGTGCCGAAAAGGCATAAAGTGACCTGTAACTTTTGCTGTCTGGCTCTAGGATCATATCCAGAGTTGGTCCACTGACCTTCAGCTTGGAAAGATTGATTTGGATGAACTAAAATCCTGGCAAAGTTCCTAGAAGCTTCAACAGCTTGTGCTTAAAAGTTGTTCCATGTCCTATAAAGCAAAAAAGGAGGTCGCTGTGGTATTAAAATCAGGACACAGCACAAGTCTGTCCAGACCCCAGTGTAGTAACAGCTTCTAGCTTTTTGTCTGGGACCAAGAAGCTTCAACAAGCAGCCAGGAGCAATGAGGAGGAAGCTCACAGCAGCCAGATAAGAAGGTACTGTTCCAGCACTCGGGCAGGTGGGCAGGCCCCAAGTTGCCAGACCCCAAACCTTTCAAATATATCCCTTCTTTGTAAATGTGTTTTCATTTCTGTCTCCCTGGCAAGACTGCCAGATCCTTGAGGGCAAAGACTAGGTTTGACTTACGTCTGGGTCCCCAGTGTTGAATGGTTGGATGGATGGATAGATGACTAATCTTGCCCTGCAGACTCTTACAGTGAAAGATTTAAGTAACTTAGAAAATGTTTATTAAAAACTTACTTGCAAGAACCTTTTCTAAGTCTTCCTTATAGATTATTTTATGCAATCTTAATAGATTATTTTATGTAATCTTCACATCACTCCTACGAGATATACATTATTAGTATCCCTATTTTATAAATGAGGAAACTCATTTAGAAAAGATTAGTCACTTTCTCAAGATTACACGGTTAATGACAGGAAGGCGGCTCAGGCTCATCCTGCGTCCACAGTCCTAATTGTCAACACATCTCAGCGAGGGAGGTAGCCTGGCGCCCAGGTGTTGAGGGGCGGCAGGTGGCAGAGTAGGCTGGGCAGTGATGGAGCATCCTGGGGCAATGGGATCACAGCCGAAGTCTAATGGGGTGGTCACAAAATGTGAAGAGCTGCAGAGCAGATGGGAAAATGTTCCAGACAGGAGGAAAGAGTGGGCAGAACTTGTTGGGATTGTGACGGTCCGTGTCAGGTCGTGAGAAGAGACAGGGAGGGGGTTAGAGCAGTCGTTTGGGGTCAAATATGCCTGTGAACCAAACGTCCTCCCTTGCCTTTCCACTGGGGTGTGTCCATGGAGCTGAAAGAAGAGATCACTCTTGCACATTCCCTCTTCCGTCAGGAAGTCTGGGACTCTTGCACGACTTAGCCCAGGGAGCAAGTGAAGCAGAAACGCCCACACCCGCGCCAGGCTGACACGGGAGGCATTTCCGTACAAGGTAGCCGCCTGCCGCCTGCCCCTGTGGCTGAGCCTCTACAGAGGCTTGAGGTCTCTACAGAAGCTCCCATTGGCATGGAGGAGGGGCAAAGAAAATACGCTTAGTCAGAGGCAGATTTGCAAGTAAGCAGGAAGCCCCTTAGAAGTCTTACCAGCAGGAACCACAGTACTCAGTGTTCAATTAGAGAACGTGATAGAAGAGAGCACCTGGAGCAAGTTCTAGGGCAAATGCAAGCTGCTCCACTGTGCTTGGAAATGGGGCACACAGTGCTCCCCACTTCAGACTAGGAGGTCGGGGTGTCAAACAGATCCCTGCTGCAGATATGGAAGATTCTGTGAAAAGGTGGAGAGGATCAATACTAATAGTCGGGGTCTGAATGCCAGGCAGTGTGCCAGGCACTCCATATGTGTCTTCTAATTAAATTCTTACAGCACTTCTATGAGGGTGTAGAGATTCAGAAAGGTTAATTGACTTGCCTAAAATCATCCAGCTTTCAAGTTGTTGAGTCATATTTGAAAGCCAATTCTGTCAGGCTCCAAGTGCTTTGCATTGCAATTGCTTCTGCACAAATATTCCAAATAGCCTCCTCCTGGGAGTAGAATATGAACAACTCCACTGAACACAAGGTGTCCCCACCAATAGCCTTAAGAGAACACTCTAGCTCATGTAGATCGTGGGGTAGTAGAAAGGGTATTAGACCAGTTATTAGAAGACCTGAAATGCAGTTTGTAGTATTTTTGATGAGTAGATGAATGACTCTTAAACTTGAAGGAAGTATATGTAAAAAACATTACCATAGTGACGAGCACACAGTGAATGTGTAATAAATGTAGCTTATTGTTATTTGAGACACTATTGGCTTGAAGAGTCCTAGATGTGGCTTCATGATTGGGAATCACAATACTAGGCAATCTCTAAAATTCTTTTTTAAGTTCTACCATTTTGATTCTTTCTGCCTTCTCCATCCCTGCCTTCAAGATTCTACTAGAAACTTTTGAAACTGCATAAAAGTATACAGCTCAGTTCTAACCTCCCTATTTCAAGGCACCCACAATTGACATTCATTATATTTTCTTCTATTTCCCCATGTGGTTTTATATAATAAATATTGTGCTTAAACTCCCATGTTTTTTTTCATTTAACTTTGTATTATGAATATTTTTCACATCCTTAAAATTCCTTCTAAATACTACTTTTAATGAGCAAAGAATAAACTATCATTTGAATATTTCTATGATGTTGGGCATTTAGCCTATTTGTAACATTTGGCTAAAAGAAATTACGCTTCAACTAATATCTTTGTACAATAAATCATAGCATAGAACATTATTTCCTCAGGACTGAGACTTTGTATGGCAGAAGACATTACAGTGCTTTAATACACATTAGCCTGACTCTTGACTTACGGGCCTTTTTACCAATTGAAACTATTTCTTCAAGTATTTTTTAAAGATAGATATGTGGTTGGTACATTTACTCAACATATGTGTACCTGAGAGTATTTTCTTATTGCTTTCGCATGTGAATTATTGTACCCCATTGATTTCCCCTTAAAACTATGCTCTCTTTTGCTCTGTATTTTAACATCACAGAGGAAAAATTTGGAGCCAAATATATACATGTTTCTTTGTGGGTTATTTATGAAACATCTGAAAACATACTTGTGGAATTTTCTAATTAGAAATGTTTTATTTCAGATTTATATTGAGGTATAGGTCATTTTCATGGATTCTATCTGGGAAGGTAGTAAGATTCCCCACCCACTAATATCTTGCTGTCAAAGTCCTCCCTTTAAAAAAAATTCTTCAGAACTTTCTTCAATGATGTTCTTCATTATTGATTTGATATCTTGATATCAATGATTCTGGATTTTTCCACAGATATTCTTGTAATTATTAGGTGAAATGTCCACTCCATGTTTTCTGTATATGTATTATCATGCTCATTATTTGTCCCATTTCTCTAATTATTAAACATATTTTAAAGTTTCATCTTCGTGTTATGCAATTGAATTTTTCTGCCACTTCTGATCTTTAATGCTGCCAGTGTAGACTTAATTCTGTACTTTCAGTTTACAGAAAATCTATATTTTATCTACTTTATCTTCTATCTTATGTTGTCTTTTCATTTTAGCTTATCCTAACCTTGTGGGTTTCTGTTTCTGTTTCAGAGATGTCTTATCTCTTGGCATCCGACTAAGTATCAACATAATTCTCTAAACTTTTTTCTGATTCCTGTAGTACATTATCTTCAAAGATTTGTTTCTCTTCATCTTCAGAATAATAGAGCTAATCCTGTAGAATATTCTGATGGCTCCCATAATGTTTTTTTCT